CAGAAAAACAACTCATCGCCATTAATGTTGCTGCCCAGATCAATGAAAAACTCACATCTGCTACCTTTCCTCAATGGCGAGCTTAGTTTGAAGCGTTGCTCATTGCCTACGATCTGATAGACTTCATCACCGGCACCCTTCCATGTCCTGTCATTGACAGCTCCAAATCTGACTCCTCTAAGGCTGCCCATACTTATTGGGTTTGCCGGGACAAATTGTTTCTTCATACTCTTCTTGTCTCCACATCCACCACGCCTCTCATAGCCTCCTCCAAGACATCCCATGAGGCTTGGAGCACACTTAACCATCTCTATGCAGGTAAATCATGTACACGAGCAATGCAATTGAATGAGGAACTCACCCTGATTCAACGGGATAATCGCACTGTCAGTGAATTTCTACATGCTTTCAAACTTCTCGTAGATGAGCTAGCCCTCATTGATCATCCCATATCCAGTGATGATTTGACACTCTACGTGTTGAATGGTTTAGTCCCAACATTTAGAGAAATAGCAGCGCTAATATGGGCTCGTGAAACTTCCCTGACTTTCGAAGAACTTCATGACTTGTTCATCGCCTCGACACATCTATGGAGCCCATCGTAATTTCTGCCCATTATACTCAGAAGAAGAGAGGCTCATCTTTTCCCAATAATAGTTTCGATCATCATCGCCCGAGTTCCATCAAAAGACGTGAGTCTTATAAACGGTCAACTTCTGATTCGTCAAATTCTTCTATAGGCTACCACAGGAATAAGCCCAAGTGCCAAATATGTGACCAGATCGGTCATACTGCTAAGTACAGTCCGAAGTACTCAAATCAGAATGTTACTGCTTGTGCAACCTCAGTTAAACGCAGCAACACAAAATGGCTAGTTGATTCTGCTGCCTCTCATAATATGACAAATTTGTCCAATCTATTTATTCATTCTAAGTATACTGGGATAGATGAGGTGGTTATTGGTGATGGTTCAAGTTTTCCTGTCTCCTACATTGGTTCCTTAAGCTTTGCCTCCCCCACTCGTGTCTTTCATCTCTGTGATACCCTTTATGTTCCTAACATTAGAAAAAAAAAAGTTAGTTTTCATCCACTATTTTACCAAGCATAATAATGTCTATTTAGAGTTTCAGCCATCTCAATTTTTTTTGTGAAGGATCGGATCACGGAGGTGACACTTCTCAGAGGCAAATGTGAGGATGGTGTGTATCCTCTCCCAGAGTCACTGGACACGATGTCCAAACCTACTGTTGCTTATGTACATAAGCGCACTATCTCTTATGGCTAGCACAAACATTTGGGACATCCTTCTCCAAAAATCGTTCAGCAGATTATTCGCACATTTTCCTTACCAGTTTCACAAAAGTCGAATTCTTCCTTATGTATTTCATGTTCAATAAATAAAGCACATCAACAACCTTTCCATTCACATGGTTTAACAAGTAGGGCACCACTTGATCTTATTTATTCAGATGTTTGGGGTCCCTCCCAAGTTATTGGAATTGATGATTCAAAATATTATCTCATTTTCATAGATCACTATACTAAGCCCCTGTTTGATCCCCATTAAATTACATTCCATTACATTCTATTTTTCTCTCTCCTATTTTCAACCACACAATCTTCCATAAAATAATATTACACGTAAATCGAAAATTTTTCCTTCTTTTTCAACCACTCATTTTTTCAACAAAACATTATTCCCCCCATTTTCATTACCAAAAATGGGGGCCAAACAGAGGCTAAATATATGTGGTTTTATCCAATTCCACAAAAATCTCTTGTTCCCAGTATTTTTCCTCAATTCAAACAACTTGTGGAAAATCGATTCAACAACACCATAAAAAAGTATGTATTATGATAATGGAGGTGAATATATTGCACTCAAACCTTATCTCTCCCTTCACGGTATTAGCCACTATACTATTACCCCCCCCCCCCATCCCTCAACAAAATGGCATGTCAAAACGTCGGCATCGTCACCTTGTTGAAATCGGACTCACACTCCTTACAAAAGCCCACATGTCCCTCCGCTATTGGCCATATGCTTTTCAAGCAGCAACAAATCTCATAAATCATATGCCCGCTTCAACATTACAAAATAAGCCTCAATTTGAAATGTTGTTTGGTCAAACCCCAAATTATCTCAAATTGAAGCAATTTAGGTGCCCATGCTTCCCTTTGACCCAATCTTATAATCGTCACAAACGTCAACCCAAGTCTAGGCCTTGTGTGTTTATGGGCTACTCCAAAACCCAAAGTGCCTATCCTTGCCTTGACCTAGCAACAAATCGCTTATAATAATCCGGACATGTTCTGTTTGATGAAATATAATTTCCTCTTAACACATCTCTCAGTCCCGTTTGTGCAACACCGACTCCTTCAGAAAGGTCACTACATGATTTCCCGCCATAGTCAATTCTCGTACTAGCTTCTCCATCACAAGTCTTTCCTATACCATCTCCAATGCCAGTGTCTCTGGAATTTGACCTGCAATGTCTCTGTGTGTGTCCTTTACAGTGACTACATCCAACTTAGTAAGTTCCTCTCCCTCTTCAATTTCCTATTCATTACCTAGTTTACCCAATTTTACTATACGTGAGCCTCATACAGTCCACACTTCCCCTCCCTGAATCCACCAAATGGTAACCAGGTCGATAAATAATATCTACAAACCAAAACAAATGTCTCTAGTCACTAAGCATCCCGTAGCATCCTTCGTGGAACCAACTTGTGTTAGTCAGGCATTATCTGATCCTCAATGGCATTAAGCAATGCCCAATGAACTCACTGCCCTCATGCGACAAGATACATGGGAATTAGTGCCATTGCCTACAAGGTCAAAGGTTGTTGGGTGTAAGTGGGTCTTTAGAGTCAAATGGCATGCTGATGGTTCTATTAATAGGTTCAAAGCTCCGTTGGTTGTAAAAGGCTATAATCAACGACCTGGGATTGATTATACTGAAACCTTTAGTCCTGTAGTTAAACCTGCCACCATATTTACTGTTTTGTCTATTGTTGTTATGCAGGGATGGCCATTAAGATAGATGGATATTAACAATTCCTTTCTCCATGGCCACTTATCGGAAGATGTCTACATGATCCAACCTCCAAGATTTCGTGATCCAACTAAACCAGATCATGTCTGTCATCTTTGAAAGGCAATTTATGGCCTCAAACAAGCCCCTCGTGCTTAGCACTCGGCTCTCAAACAGGCATTACTAGATTTTTGGATTTGTGAATGTAAAATTGGATTCATCACTTTTGGTGCACCATTCTGGTTCTACTCTTACCTACTTTCTAGTTTGTGTGGATGATTTAATTATTACTAAAATGATTCTGCCTTTGTGACTAGCATTATTCAGAAACTTGGTCGCAAGTTCTCTCTCACAGATTTAGGACCACTCCATTTTTCCTTGGTATTAAGGTAATCCCTATAATGACTGGGCTATTTCTCATGTAACATAGGTACATACGGGATTTATTGTCCAAGACAAATACGGATGGTACAAAGGATGTGACAACACCTCTTTCCACCTCTATACCCTTGAATTTGTCTCATGGTTTACCTTTTGTGGACCAAACCGAATATCGCAGAATCATTGGAACTTTGCAATACCTGTCTTTAACTAGGCCTGACATTAGTTTTGCAGTGAATAAGCTCTCCCAATTCATGCATCATCCATTGGCCCAACATTAGGCAGCTACCAAACGTTTGCTACTTTACCTGCAGAACACCATTTTTCATGGACTTGTGCTTCACAAGACTGCTGGATCATCTCTTTTGAGTTATTCTGATGCTGATTGGGCAGGTAACCTTGATGATCATAGTTCTACATTGGCATATCTCATTTTACTTGGGTCAATTCCTATTTCATGGAGCTTAAAGAGACAATGCTCGATTTCTAGATCATCCACCGAGGCAAAATATCGAGCTCTTGCTACAGATACTTCTGAGACCATGTGGCCCCTCTTTTTGCTTCATGAACTGAAGTTTCCTCTTGCATAGCCTCCACTCCTCTTATGTGTCAATCTTGGAGCAACACATTTAAACTTTATTCCAATCCAGCATTCACGGACGAAACACATTCAACTAGACCTTCATTTCATCTGTGTCTTACTTCAGAAGGGAAAACTTAATGTTCGTCATGTTCACACTCAAGATCAACTAGCTGATCTCTTGACCAAGCCTCTCTCACGAGAAAGAACTCAATATCTTAGAGACAAGATCGGCCTAGCCAATGGCATCCCGTTCTTTTAGGGGTGTATTAAGGAAGATGCCACGAATCATGCCATACCTCTTGCGAACAACTGTATTAAGGAAGATGCCATGAATCAAGCCATGCCTATTCCGAAAAACTGTAATCAAGGCTTCATTGGCTAAAATTATGAAGCACATCTGTAGCGTTGTAATTAGCAATTTACTCTATTTAGATTAAACCATAGTTGTATATAAACACACTCACTGATGAATGAAATATGTGCAAAGTTAAAATCTCAACAGTGTATATTTCTCTTTTATCCTCTACCTGCATTATCTCATTTCAGGTTCTGTATCACTTCTTCACTTTTAAAACTATTTTACTAATTTGTTCGCCAAGTTATCCTGTGATGGTAATTTAGTATGTATTGATTGTTAATATTAACTAAAGCTCCTATTATCTAGCATAGACTTCATAACCTCATAAGAATCACAAAAATGTATCCAGGTGTTTACATCTGCACTCAATAACAGAATAAAAAATATATTTTCAAGAAAAATGATGCAAATATAATTGTTATTGCAGATGTCTAGACCGAGATACATTTTTCATCTTTTTGTTATTTATATCATTTGTTGGCTTAAGAATAAGGGAGAAAAACTATGCAAAAGTAAACAAGTTCCAATTTGAACTGAAACATAAATTTCTTGAAGCATTAGATTTGCAAGTATTATTTTTGATTCATAAATTAACCAAAGCTCTTGCTTGGAATATCCTTAAATCATTTGAGGGACTACTATTCTATCTTGATGGAATCATAGCTTTAATCTTTTGCAGTCTAGACACAACTTCCCTCATATTGATTCTTTCCGTTGGAGAATCAATCAAACATTCTATCGCCAGAGACAAAATGGTAGATACTCGTTGCTCCTTTCTGGAGAAATTTTCTTCTCTTCTAAGCAAATTGGTGTCCACTACTTCAATTATTCTATGCTCGTCCAATGAGTGACTAACCCAACTTTTCAAGCTCATTTGTTCGTCAAACATATCATCTGTCGGCTTCTTTCTTGTATACATCTCTAGCAGTATCACTCCATAACTGTAGACATCGCCACTAGTGGATACTATTCCTTCAACTCCATCTTCTAAATGCACATTAAACATTCTTAAGATTGGTTGATAAACTTAAAAAAGAGACTATGAATCAAAGATATCACAGATTGATTTAAACAAATATAAATTTCAAACTTCCAAAATTTTAAACGAGGAACATTACCTGGTGACATATATCCAATTGTTGCTAAGGTCTTTGTTTGAGAAATTAGCTTCCCTTCACCGAAGAGTTTGGCTATACCAAAATCGCCAACACGGGCAACCATATCTTCATCAAGAAGGATATTGCTAGGCTTTAAATCACAGTGAACAATGGTGGAAGTATGACTGTGATGCAGATATTCTAAAGCTAATGCAACATCAATGGCTGTATTTAATCTTTTCAGAATGTCCAAGAAATCGTTGTGGGAATATAAACATTTCTCAAGGCTCCCATTAGGCATGTACTCCAGTATTAGGGCTTTGAACTCTGTATTGCTGCAACATCCAATGATTCACACTAAATTCCTATGGCGAATGATGCTTAGCACCTGACTTTCTGTACCGAAGCTCTTAGTTGCTCTTTCTTCTTCTGACTCCAAATTGAAAACTTTTACTGCAACATTTAATCCATCAGAAAGTGTCCCTCCATATACTGTACCAAAACTTCCACTTTCAAGTATTTTGCTTTCACTAAAGCCATTTGTTGCATCCCAAAGTTCTCGATAAGAAATCCTTCTCCATTCAATCTATAATGAAATTTCATTCTCGGGTGCATGTTTATTGAATTTCTGTCTTCTTACCACTGAAAGTGTTAAGGTCACTGCAAGGATAATAGATATGATACGGGCGAGAATATATTTCAGTAATGGAACCACATTCTTCAACTTTGATCTTTTAAGAGTCTTTCTACAATGTGGAAACTGTATTCGTTCCTCACTACAGAGGGCATAGTTCTGCATAAATGATTGAGTTGTGAAGTTTGCAAAATTACCCCCGATGGGAATCTCTCCTTCTAATCTGTTGTGAGCAATGTCAAAATATTGTACATACTTGAGTGTTTCTAATGACTTTGGAATCAATCCTGAAAAATTATTATATGACAGAGCTAAGGATTCCAAGCTTACCGTGTTTCCCAGAGACTCAGGAATTTGTCCTTCAAATTTATTATGTGCAAAATATAGCAAAACCAGAGATTGGATTTTGCCAATGAAGCTTGGAATCTCACCTGAGAAATGATTCCAAGATAAGTCTACGTCTTTGATGACCTTCAAATTTTCAATCTCAGAAGGTAGAAGACCACTTAAACTATTATGAGGCAAATTTAGTTGTAGGAGATCATTAAGGTTCCAGAAGTTTAATGGTACAGTGGATTCCAATTTGTTGGAGTCTAAGTAGACTCTTCTCAGGTACTTAAAGTCACCCAAGCATGGAGGAATTGATCCAGAGAGCCTATTGTCACTTAGGTACAAGTGCCCCAAATTGCTTAACTGGCAAAGCTCAGCAGGGATATGTCCATCTAGTTTGTTGTGTTGAAGATATAAGCGTTGAAGACTTTTTAATTTTCCAACTGTTCGGGAGATGAATCCTGTCAACTGATTGTTTTCTAAATAAAAATCTTCCAAACTTGTTAAGTTTCCAATCTCGAGAGGAATAACACCGCTAATGTTGCATTCAAATGCTCTCACTATCCGAAGAGAAGATGATAAATTCTCAATGGAAGTTGGGAGGACACCACTTAGCTTATTTGCAGCTACTTCAAGAATCTCTAAATCCTGGCAGTTCGTTAACGAAGAGAATAGCCTCAAGGATTCTCCAGTCAAGTTATTTCCTCCAATCACAAGGCGTTGTACGTGTCTTAAATTCCCAAAGTCAGGTATAGTGCCAATAAAAGAGTTACCAGTCATGTCTACAATAGTAAGTTAGAAGAATTGGTGATAGAGCTGGGAATTACTCCACTGAGTTTGTTGTCAGCCAGATGAAGCAATTCAAGATTTGGAAGTGAAAGTCCCATGGTTGAAGGAAGATGGCCCGAAAATTTATTAAAAGAAAGTCCCATCATCAATAAAGTTGATATGTTGAACATAGAGTTCGGAATAGGGCCTATCAAGTAATTGTCAGTGACGTTTATTTCCACAACATTTAAACTGCCAAGCTCAGCAGGCAATTCACCTGCCACAATATATGCTAGTTCATCAACCATTGACATCATTTAGTCAGTTATCACTAATTAGCTGTGTTTTGCAGCAACTAAATGTATAAAGAAGTCAATAAAAAAAAGTCATGATTGTAAATGCATAGAGAAATAATCTGCAACAACTATAATTTTGTAAAGATAAAGATTAAAAAGAGGTAAGAAATCAAGGAATCTTGTGATTTCACTGCTATTAAAATAAAGAAGAAGAAGAATGAGAGGTTCAGTGTTTTTACGAGAAATCTCTAACCAACCTTCTTGCATTATATCTTGTATTAAAATCAAGTGTACTGTGACCAGATAAAATTAGAATACGTACCTGTCAATTTGTTATTAGCTAGATGTAGCTATAATAGCCCAGTGAGGTTTTAGACCTTTGTAGGTAGACTACCTGTAAGTTCGTTATCTATTAATGTTATTAGCCAAAGCCTTTTGCATTCGAATATGCTGGACAAAATTTTCCCAGTTGGCTTATTCGATTCAAGATAGAGCTCTTCGAGATCAGGAATATTGTGAAAGATATCGACCGGGAGGCTTCCAGACAGACTATTATTAGCCAAGTGCATTACTTTCAGGGAAGTCATGTTGAAGACAAAAGATGGAATTGGCCCAGTTAGAGAGCCACCTGGTATGCTCAATACCTCTAGTTTCGTAAGATTACCTATTTCCGATGGAATTCCTCCTGAAAAGTAGTCAAAATCAGGAAATCGTTATCATTATGAAGACATGTCCTTGTCATAGTCAGGCGAGTTTGCATTGTATTTCGTGATTACTCTGCTTTTACACCACTTTATATATTGAACTACAATTTTTGCTCACTGTGGGTATAGTTCACTTGATAATACAGTTTGGAATTTATATAGATAAACTACTATAGAAACTGATATTTCTTTCCAGCATTTTAGTGTTGGTTTTTATACATTTACCCCAATTTACAGTGTCTTGAAAGATTATTATGCAAAGTTCAGACAGAGAATAAATTTTTCCAATTAAGTCGTTCCTCCCGATATACAGTATCTTGAGCATGATCAAACTGCCAATTTCAATTGGTATGCCTTTACTGAAATGATTATAAGATAATGCCAGTTTCTGGAGGTACCTGCACTTGTATAAATTCGACAGAATTTGCCTATAAAGTTCATTCTTTGCGAGAGCAAGTACTTCCAGATTAAGGATATCATCACAAATATCCTCAGGGAGCCTACCTGATAAGATATTACCCGATATATCAATTGCTATCAAAGAAGAAATGTTGAAGATACAAGAAGGTATTGAATCCGTGAACCTGTTAAATCTTAAATATAATATTTCCAGGGTAGAAAGATTGGCAATCTCTTGTGGAATATTTCCATTTAGAAAATTGTACTCTATAACCATCGTCTGTAGCTTTGAATTGTTGTACAGGAGCGATGGTGGTATGCCTCCAGAGAAATTATTGTTATGCAGAAGAATGTGGTGAAGTTCTGGTAATGTTCCAAACCATGATGGTACCTCTCCAACGAGCCTGTTAAATCCCACGTTTATTTCTTTCAGAAGTCGCAACTGAGAAAGCTCTGGCGGTATTATTCCCATGAAATTTTTGGAGCTGATGTCTAAAGAACTCAGAAATGTTAAATTTCCGAGATGTGGAGAAATAGTACCACTGAAGCCAAAGCCTGAAATGTTTAAGGCCGTGACTCTTTGCCACTTTCTGCTGCAAGAAACACCATTCCAGTTGCATATTGACGTACTCTTGGACCAGTTATCGGCAAAGATGTTGGCAGGGCCCCAGATGATCCCGATTTTGAAGGCAAGAAGTGCTTCTTCATCTGTGGTTGAATTGAGAGCTCTTTTGGCCAAGCAAACTGCAAAGCAGTTTATTGATAACAGTGCAACAGCAATGAAGAAGCAAAGTTTCTCCATGCTAAATGAGCTCACGTTGAGTTAATTGAGAACTTACATTTATTAGATTTAGATCCAAAATTATTAATGTTACCTTCTTCTCCTGCATTATAATAATCAGAAATTGTCGCTACAAGCATACTCCAGTTGCTATTTGTGAGGATATGGTTCACCTAACACTATCAACTTGTGACTTGATGGTACTGATGTTGACACAATAAGGTCTTCCCACGTTTTTGGCAGAGGCATGGTCTTTCCTTCTTATGTAGACTTACCCTCTACCATTTTAAGTAGAAGAGCTCTCGGTTTTTCCTCCAAGCTGAAAGTGAGCTCTCGGTTTTTTAGCAAAGGGTGGTGGTTCTTCATTGGTTTTCCCCTCTCTCTTGGAAGGTAATTAGCAAGTCATGGAAGGCTGTTCCTGAGCCTGAAAAACAGCCATTAGAAGGGAAGAAAGCTGCTGCAAGGAAGGAGAAAATCTGTCCTGATTTTCGGCCGAACACAGGTTGTATTTTTCCATCCCCTTTTCATTGTTTTGCCTTGAATCTTGTCTATTGGTTGATGTTTTGGTTGATTGAACTCCTAGGATCCCCAACAAACTGGTATCAGAGCTAGGAGAAGTGATATTAGTCCAAAATCGATCAAAAACCAGCAAGGAATCGCCATTGCCACTTTCTGACCGAATCTGAAAACTTGATTTCCGGCCAACCTATTGACTTTCCGGCGAAATGGACCATGGAACCATGACCAGCAGGAGGAGGCGCACCCTGTGGTGGGGCGCGTGACTGGTGGTGGCGGCTCCGGCGGTGGCTGCTCCGGCGGCGGTGGGTGGCTCCAATGGCGGCGCGTGACCGGACCTCCGGCGAGCTTTTTTCGGGCAGTTTACTTATTTTGACGTCCTGAACGCACTGATGTCATTTGTTTTCTATTTCAGATTTTACAGAAAAAGTTGGACGATTTTGCCCCTACCTTGACGTCTACGACAATTTGGTTCAGAAACTTGGTGGTATATTTACTGTTTGTTAACAGTAGTTTGATAAGATTATTCCAAACTCTCCGTTATGTTAGGTTTGGTATCCTTACCGATTTATGCATGGTTATTGCTTGGTTGCTTATTTGTGAATTCTGTTGATTGAATTCTTGTGATTAATTTGTAACCTGGAAGCATATTTACCTGCTTTATATACCTGTGTTTCGTGAACGGATTATTTCACTGTTGTGCTTTATTTCTAAAAATTATTTTTAAACTCGGTACTCAGTTTTATATTGATCATCTGGAAAAGAATTTTTCAAAACCTTTTTTGTTGTGTCCACGAGTACAGGCCACTCTTTTATAGAATCTATAATGGGTTCGAGGGTCGAATTATCGCAATTCGATGGAAAGGGGGATTACTCGATATGAAAACAGAAAATGAGGGCCATTTTGGTCCAACAGAGAGTTGCTAAAACTCTTGATGATCCCGCTACATTTTCTGATGAGTTAAAAGCTAAAACAACTGAAATTGAAGACATGAATGAAATTGCTTACAGTTATATAATTTTGCATCTATCTGACAATATTGTGAGACAAGTTGATAGTGCTAAAACTGCTAGAGCTTTGTGGATTGCTTTAGATGCCCTGTTCTTAACTAAAACTTTACCTAACAAAATATACCGTTGGAGAAGTTGTTTAGTTTTAAGATGGACTTGGGGAAGGATGTCGAGGGGAATTTGAGTGACTTTAGCATAATTGTTAAGAGTCTAGCTCATAATGATAAAACATTTGATGATGAGGATTTAGCTGTCATATTGCTAAACTCTTTGCCCGAATCTTACAGAGAAATGAAAAATGCCGTAAAGTATGGAGAAATGAAAAATGCCATAAAGTATGGTAGGGACACTCTCACTCAAGCTATTGTTTCTGATGCTTTAAAATCAAGAGAACTTGAATTAAAAAGAGAGAACAGAATTCATTCTCGTGAAGAGAGTCTATTTGTTAGGGGAAGATCTGAAAAGAAAGAATTCAACTTCCATAACAAGAAGGCGAGAGGAAAATCTAAAATGAGATCCAAATCTAAAGATAAAAGCGGTAAGAAATGTTATCACTGTGGAAAGTTAGGATATTTCAAGAAAGACTGCTTTGATTGGAAAAGGAAACAAAAAGACCCGAACAATTCTGATGTTGATAATGCTGCTATTGCTTTTGAATTTAATAGTTTGCATGTCATGAATGCGTCTGAAGAAGAATTTGACAAAAAATGGATTCTTGACACAGGGTGAACTTTCCATATGTGCCCTGATAGGTCTTGGTTTTATAACTATAGGGAGACTAAACCTAGGAAGGTCTACATGGGAGATAATAATTCTCAAAATGTGATTGGAATTGGTGACATAGCCATCAGGATGTACGATGGGGCCGTCACGCAGCTTAGAAATGTTAGATATGTCCCAAATTTAAAGAGGAACCTCATTTCCTTAAGTTCTCTGGAAGATGAGGGATATACTTTCAAGTCTGGTAACAAGATTTTGAAAATTATGAAGGGTTCTCTTATAGTTATGAAGGGGCCCAAGAGGAATGGGCTGTACTATCTTGAGGGTAGAACTGAAATACCATTTGATTCTAGCCTTCTTGCTGTGAGTAAAGACAAAACTGAACTTTGGCATAACAGAATGGGTCACATTGGGTTTAAAGGTCTAAAATCTTTAAGTAATCAGAAATTACTTGGAAAAGATGACATTGAAACTATGGAATTCTGTGAAACTTGTGTTTTGGGTAAGTCTCATAAGGTGAGCTTTGAAACTAGCTCTCACAGGACCAACAGACCATTGGACTATGTCCATGCTAATCTATGGGGC